ATGACTTTATCTATCTATCTATCTATCTATCTATCTATCTATCTGTCTGTCTGTCTGTCTGTCTCAAGCTCTTTATCTCTCTCAGTCTCTGTCTGCCCATCTATCTATTGATATATCGATCTATTTAAATATATTCCTTATCTATCTGTCTCTATCTCAGTGTCTTTATTTGTCTCTGTCTATCTATATATTTAAATATATAGCTCATTTATCTATCTATCTATCTATCTATCTATCTATCTATCTATCTATCTATCTAACCACACACAAATGTAAGTCCCCAGCTTTATGATGAAAATCGTTTGTTAAACAAATATTGCTCGCAACATCAAATTTTAGGTAAGGAATCGCTCGTCCCACTTAAAAAAAAATCAAATATAATAATGAACAAATCATTAGTATATTATTAATCCCTATAACATTTACAAAAAAGAAAGGTAAAAAATGGTTTCGCTGTAAGGACAAATTTACACGTTCCTGTTTTTATTTTCCAATGATTAAAGTGGTATTTCACAACTTAAAATCGAATGGGCATTCATTCATTGCTTAACATTAATTGCTAAGGGTGCTATCCATTGTTGGTCAATATTTAAGGAAATGCTCTGTTTATAATAAACAGTATTAACTGCATTTACCGGCCTGAAAGTCTGAGAAATTTCATAGAAGATATGTGTCCTCTGACAAGAATCGAACCTGTATCCTACACAGAACCGTCATATAGTCTGATGTGCTATACCACTTAGCTACAGAGGAAGTTTATATAATATCTTTAGGGTTTCGATTGATTTGAATGGAGAATAGAGAAACCGTTTTCTGTAAAAAGGATGTTCTGGTTTATCAAACATTTGTGACTTTTTTTTTAAAAAAACGAAACATATTTTAGATTTTTTCTTTCTTTCTTTTTTTTTTTTTTGTAAGTGAATATTGCATTAACAATTGTTTGGAGATAACAATTATTTTTTTCAGATACAAGTTCTACTATTTAACCCATAACCGGGGGAGATGAGATAGTTTCTTATCTTTTACAGCGCGTTAATGAATGTCGAAGTTGGCTATCCACCGTCTCAGAGGCGAGTCGTTATTTATTACGCCAAGGAGTTTGAGACAATTTGCTTGAATAATGTAAATTGTCTGTCAGCCTGCCTGTCTATATTCATTTGTAATTAATTTCATTTCTCCGAGTTCATGTATGTCTACACACACGCGAGCGCGCACTCTCTCTCTCTCACTCTCTCTCTCTCTCTCTCTCACACAAATATATATATATATATATATATATATATATAAAGCGTGTTCCAATAACCTGGACCGATTTTAAATGTGAATTAAGTTTAAGCGTCTCATGATTATTTTCTTTTTCTTTCACATTTAACAACTTAAGTCTTTGGCAATTTCAAACATGGAAAGATTAACAATCAAACAACGTGTTATCGAAGTTATCGAAGCCTATTACGAAGATGGACGTCCAAACAGAATTTGAATGAGAAATTCCCAGGTCGCATCATCTTTCGAAACAGCGAAGTCAATTGGCCACCACGATCGTGCGACTTGACGCATTTAGATTTCTTCCTTTGGGGTCATCTCAAAAGTAAGTTCTATTCCAAAAAGCCAACAACAATTCAACAGCTGAATGATGAGATAAAATGCATATTGGTGAAATCGAGGAGCAACTATGTAGAGATGTCAATCAAAAAATCTGACCATCGAATGAAGGTGTGCCGCCGAATCCTTGGCAGACATTTGGGCGATATTATTTTTCACACATAATTGCCACGACTTAAATAACATGATGCAATAGAGAAATAAATAAATTTTCACCAATAACACTGATTTATTTAATGCTGACTTTGATCCGTCCTAATGAAACACACTTCATATATATGTGTGTGTGTGTGTGGTTATTCAAAAAGAAAGAGATTTCAAAAATTTAATCAAAATAAATGCTAAGACACATATACACGTTCAACACATTACTGGATAGAAATAGATTCAATGTTTATTATTTTAAGGTTACATTTCGCAAATTACAGTTCATAAAATTACTTTTTTGGGAGTGCGGCCATTTTAAGGGTTGGAACAAATTCTAACAATTTAAAATCATACAAAATCTGAAAAAAAAAACAGCAACAACAAAAGAACGATTTAAACAAGGCTGAAAAAATTTCATTTATTTTTAACTTTTCCTAATGTGTTGAATGTGTTTCTCTGTTAGCATTCAATTCCTGAGTGAGCATATTACCAACACACATCAGCAAAAACTATATATATATATATATATATATATATATATATATATATATATATATATATATATATATATATTATAAACTAAATTTCAGTAAAGCAGTGACCGAGCAGGACTATCAGTTCCATGCTTCCGGCGTTCGGAGTTTTAACTATAGTTTCTATCAAATAATCTATGATCTATAAATATAAAATATATATGAATTAAGACAAAAGGAAACATATTAGCGAACGCGTCTGGTCTTTTGATGGGTTT